CGCGACTCGAATTGTGGACGACCCCGTGTTCCAAGCCCACGGTACAGGCGGCCTCGTAATATGTGGCACGTCAGCCCGACACGACCGATTTCAACTGTGAGGGCGCAACACCTCATCTAGATCGATCCGCTGCCTGACCTGCCGGCTTCGCTACTGACGCCCACTTAACCCGCAGCGCATATCGAGAGCGAGTCTTTAGCGTGGAGTCTGCTCTCGTAGTTTCGGACTATAACGTGAGACGCCAGACGCAAGACAGGGTGACTCGATGCTATTCCGGTCTGCTATAATCTTCAACACCTGACTTCAAAATTTTCATGTACTCTTCAAAGCCACAGCAGCCAGAGCGATCGATACCAGGCTGCATGACTATGTACGTGCTACGTCCTCCCCATCACAGGGACCGTTGCGCATCCAGGCGTCGGTGTTGCGTGCAGGTCGGTGCGCTTGAATGCAGCGCGTCTACCGTTTACATCTGCGCCAGCTGGACAGCCCTGCGTCAACGCGGGTAAACGGGACCTTGCTGATTGGCAACGGTCAAATGCCTGTGCTCAGCAAGCGCTCGCCGCATGCCGGACTGATCAGCTGAAGTCGGCGCACGAGAGAATGAAAGATTGAGCGTGTGCGCAGAAGCACACCAGACCCCTATTAACGGATTCGCTCGATCTCGAAATAATAGTCGGCCGTACTTAATGACGAGTTCACGAAAATGTCATACTGAAGAAGGAGCACCCCGATGTAAGTGGCGACCACCCTAAGCTATCACTGTCCTCTCCGCCGATGACCATCTCTCCGCCTCACGCCCAAAGACTATTACGACCGACTTAAGACCGCCTGAAGATAACCCCAAGCGTCATTCTGCAATCGGTGATTCTCGGTCAACTCTACATATGATTCTTGTCCACACAATCTTGTTGTTTGCATTTCTCCATAGATGAGGAGGCCTGGATGGGAGAAAGTGCATCCAGGCAATTCACCGTGAAGCAACGCGGAGTGGTGTCCGTCCGATCCAGACATCCTGATCGTGCGTGAGCTCGACGTAAGGATCGAAGCACCGCGGGACAGGATGGCACCGTAGCTCGAATCAATCACACTCTGGAGACGTGCGACGAAGGGGGTGCCTTGCTCGTTGACCCGGCCGGCTCACCCCGCGGTTCGACGTTGCCCGCGTCTAGGTGTTGCCATTCGGGAACGATTTTCGTTCTCTAAACTCACTTACGTCCCTCTCTTCCGCACTGTAGTGATGTTCATGCGTCTTCATTGAAGGGAGTTCAAAAAAGTTCATCCTGCGCAGCAACGTCGTCGATACTGGCATCGGGATCGTCCATCGTACCGCGTTCGGAAGGTCGTTGAGCGCTGGTGCAGGCGCGTGCTTCATGGCCGGTCGTCAGCGTGTGACCGGCGGCGTTCCGGATTGTGTCGAAGCAGGCGTTCCACCTCGGCGGGTGAGGCAAACTCGCGTGGGCGTGTTCCTCCAGGCCAGTCATCCAACTTGCGTCATCATCGGCGTTCTGCATGTTCCTCGTACGTGCAAGCACGAGCCGGCAACTGTCGGCAGTGAACACCTCAGATGCACAAGCTACTTTGTTGCTCTCGATCTGCATCTTGCGCCGTATACGAGTGAGAGAGCATTTCACCTTACCTCCCGAACGCGTCGTCGAAAACCGTCCCGACGGAGAAGGCTACCGCCGAAATCCGCGGACTCCTTAGAAGCGGTCCCCACGCACGCCTTAAAGAACCACCCTTTCGAGAAGCATCCATTGGACCGCGCTAGCTCTATTAAGAGCTAAGCATCTGTGTTGTACGGCTTGTTCGCGAAGTAACCTTTCAGTCTGAAACAGGAGCGATGCACTTCCCTCTTCTTGAGCACTCTTGCCTCGTTAGCGTAGGGCAGTTTTATCAAAAATTATAATCCGATGCCTCGGCGCTTTGGACCTCTCGTGAGACCAAGAAAACCGCACAATGATACCATGCGATGCTTCGTGCTCCTCGGCCCTAGGCCCGCGCTCCTGGCGCCTGCGGCACCTGCGCGGGGGGGGGGGGGGCGGGGATCGCCTGCCCGACACGCCGGTGAAAGGAGTGCCATTATTGGTGTCGACCTGTCAAGACACGGGCTGGCAATCGCTCAAGCGCGAGGTGACACTTGTGCGCGCGGGGCGCGTACTCCATCGATGATGTCGCCCCAACGGTGGTCACGGTACCGTCTGGATCGACAGCACCGGCTCCAGTGTCGAAGCGCGTCGTGAGGAATGCGCCGAGCATCGAGGTGCCGCCCGGAACGCCCCCGTGTAACCTGCCAAGACGACCTTGCGGGTAAGACGTCTGAACCGTTTCACCTTTCAAGGGCGACAAAAACGCGCTCCGCGAGCGGCACCATGTGTACTCAAGATCAAACCGGTCGAAAGGCGCGTACGACAATGGCCGCCGAC